TTCCTCAAATTTATATTATTTTGAGAGAAAATTATATTTGTTTTCAAGAGAGGTTTCTTGTCATCCATTAGAGCTTTAACCTTTTCTCTTATCTACTCTTTTGAGAGCTATTGTTGAGAGGTTGAAGAAGATTGTTCTTCTTGTTGTTCAAGGCTTATGTGACTTAAGTCTTGGTTGTAAAGTCTTGTAGAGGGCATATCTACGAGCGGTTGTGTCGAGGCTTGTGGGATTCAAGTTCTCGAGTTGTAAACGGTTTGTTAAGCACCCGTAAGCTTAACGGAAGTAGTGGTAGCTTCGAGAGAGTCTCTCGGGGAACTAGACTAGCCACGAGGTGGTGAACCAGTATACATCGGTGTGTTCTTTGCCTTCTCTATTTTATTTCCGCTGCACTTACGTTTATATTATTAATCCTGCGAAAATCGGTAAACATTCTCAACAACTATATTCACCCCCCCCTCTAGAGTTGCACGCCTTGTCTAACATTTATTTCTGTACGCAAGGAGAAAAAATAGGTTAGTAAACTCACTTTATCTCATATTTCCAAAATTATTATTTTTATTTAAAACACAAAATAGATTCTTATTTAATCATAATTATAATCACATAGTTCTTATTGATAAACAATCAAAACTGGATAAATATTCTGAACACAAATATTTAAAGATAAGCCCATTACTTATTCAGGCCCAAAAGCCCATCCCTATCGGAATATATAACCTTCCCAGCGTAACCCTAGTTCCATTTCCCGCCTTTCTTCACTCTCTCTCTAATCGCCGCTCTTCACTCTCTCTCTAATCGCCGCCTTCCTCTCGCCTTCTCTCAATGCCCTCTATCCACTCTACACTTTTCGGTCTCTCTCTGAGTTTGTCATCCATCGCCATAAACGATTTCTTGGAGATATCGGTTTTGGCGATTCATATATGGCAATATGTGATATTGTTCAACATCATTTTTTTGTAAGTTTTTTGGATTCAAAACTTTTGATTTCAATTCGTCTTTTCAGTAATTCTGTAGATTGGAATTAAATTGCGGGATGTATATACGTATATATTCTCAAATTTTCTCAAGATCTTTAGATCTTTATATATGAATATATATATATATATATATATGTATATATATATACATATATTTTTATTTATTTTTTTATTTATATTAAGCTACTGGGATTCGATCTTGACATGCATGAATCAAGAATGTTGAGATAATGTTTTAATGATTTTTTCATTTTGATTCGTTAGAACAAATTTCTAACATCGAATTGGCATGGGATCTTTACCTTTTCGATTTAGATTCTCTCTCTCTCTCTTAATTTTTCTCTTAATTCACACTATTTCTTCATTTTTTTCCTTAATTATGACCGTAGATTTTGGATCTGCACATTTTTTTCTCAAAATTTGTATAGATTAAAAAACCCTATATATTGTGGAATTTTATATAGTTTTTTACTCTTGTTGTTTGAATCTGCTAACTACTAATTGCCAATAAAGACTATTATTTGTGGCAAATTTGTTGCTAATGAACTCGTGGTGTGTGTGTGTGTGTGTGTGTATATATATTTATATTTATATTTATATTTATATTTATATTTATATTTATATTTATATTTATATTTATATTTATATTTATATTTATATTTATATTTATATTTATATTTATAAATATTTATATATCTAGGTATTTATATATGGTGCCAATGATGAGGGAGGGATCGCTCTTTCCTACTCTGCGTATCAATACTTTTTTTTGATGTATGAATATGTATATATATATATATATACCCAGTTTTGCCTTGTGGCTCCCCCTTAATTTATATATCATATATGTTGTATATGGCCTGGTATCTTCCATTTCATTTCACTCCAAGCTCTTTGTGTGTGTGTGTGTGTGTGTATATATATATATATATATATATATATATATTATTGAAAGGAGAATTTTATTAAAATGCAAAATAAAGAAAAGTACAAAGAAGGGAGGACTAGGCCAACGCCCCTCTAGAATTGCAAGAAATAAAAGGATTGATAAAAGGGGGAATGGGATGAAAACATAATGAAAAGGATCATTCCCAGATTATAAAACCCGGGTGTTGATCGAAAGAGAGATTTCTGGGCATTATTTTCTTCGGCCTTTTTCCATCCGTGCCAATTGGACCAACGGGCCCAACGTACCAAAAGGGTCCAGAATAACTTTCGGTAGTAACTATTTTCTCCATGGTAGTAGATTTGCGACTGGGCCAGTATCTCGTGATCTCGCTCACAGTCCCTACTTCGAGATTAGGATCATAGCTTCTGGTTTTGATGGTCCTTGGCATAGCTTGCTTCTTTTTTTATTCTGGACTTCTTGGAATTCGTTAGCTATGAGGTTTTCATCATTGCGGTTGGATGTTTGTCCTTCCTCCATGTAAGACCTGATTTCATAATTTTGACCGTCATGCTCAAAAGAGTGGAGGATCGGTCCAATGCTGGCAGGGTTGACATCTGAATTATTTGGTGTTGTGTTTTCCTTTGTTGTATCTTCAGCCATTAAGGTCCCTGTTGTGTTATCCTTCTCCGTCTCGGTTGAAGTGTGTACAACCGCCTCCACAGTTGGAGTGTGTACTTCCTCCTCCATGTTCTGTCTTGTAAGTACTGGAAACTCATCTAGGTTGATTGTATTTCCTACATAAATAGCATTTTGTGCAGTCATATGACAATTGTAGTTTTTCGGGTAGTAAACCTTCCCAGTAAAGGGTTAGTTTTCTCTCCGAGTGTCGTGTCTCTCGAGGAGTGGACGAAGGGAATTAGTTTAATTACTCTAACTAGGCGAACATTAGGATTGGTTTGTGAAAGTCTTCTCGGAACGATTATAGAAGGAGCAGAGTAAAAATAATAAATTAAGTTTACATAGTATAAGTATAGATCTGGACCTAGGGTCTCGACATCATTTGGATCTATTTTATCATATTAAATTAACAATTGGAATAATAATATTTCTATTACTACTCATCCATTTCTAGATTTGTACTTAATCTGTTGCACTTGAATATCATAGCCTTTTAGCATACAATATCTTCTCAATAAATAGCTAATTAAATCTTTCGAGAATAATTAACTAAATAAGGCAAGAACAATAGATTAACCATTCCAACATTAATTTAACATAAAAAATAAACAACCAAACTAGTCCGGACCCAGAGATCCGGACCCTAACTCATACTATGCAAACATAAATTAAAATAGCATTTTATTAAATAAAGAAAACTTACAACCTCCGTAAAAGCGGAACAGAACAGATCTGGAGTCAAAACCTCCGGAAAATNACTAAAACTAATATACAAGCTAAAATGGAGACGGGATATGTAAATCCCGAAGTTGGGATGGAATGGGATGATAAAAATGAGAGGGATCGAGCTGTATTTATAGGAATGGATCCAAGGCGTCCAAGTCAAAGCGTCCAAGTCCAAGCGTCCAGATCTGGACGCCTGAGCTGTCCCGGCCAACCAGGTATTGCCATGTGTCATTCTTGGGCTGCAATTAAGCTGAAGCGTCCAACTCCCAAGCGTCCAACTTGGCCAAGCGTCCAAGTTGGACGCCTTAGGCCCTTCCTTTGTTGGGCTTCGCGGCTGGTTCGTGATTTCGGCCCAATTTCGCTCCGTTTTGGCCCCGAACACTATTTTTCATCTCCCGGAAGCTCGTTCAAGCCCAAATCTTGATCCTTTGATGAGTTATTCCCCTTTTCTCAAATACTTGAACAAAAATGGATGATTTATGATGATTTCATGTGGAATCCCATTTTATGATTCTTAGAATGAAAATGAGAGTTTTATCCATTAAAACCACATTTTATGAGGTGATTAAATACTATTTACGTGCAATAACGTTTAGAATATGATGTAAATGATAAGAACGAAATGGACTTATCATCATACCATCCATGCTTTCCTCAATTGAGTGTTCTTGTGTAGGTTCCAAATCTGCTTCCTTAGTCAGGTTGTCCACTGCCACAGAAACCACTTCAGGATCAGAGGTTGAGTGCCCATCCTTGGTGTTTTTTGTAGTGTTGCAGTCAAAACAGTTTGTGATATTGTTGGCTTCTGATTGCTCTACCTGTTCTATGCCATCCACAGAAACAAATGGGTACTGCCTGAGATCAATAACATGAGGTGTAGGAGAAATGGAAGTGTCCATTGGTGCAGGAGTGACTATTGGTGTGTTGCTATCCATTGGCAGTGCCATCAAGGGGGCGGTTGCTTGATGTTTATCTAGAGTTATCGCCATATCCACATCGCTAAAAGCTTCCTTGGAATCTGTTGTAAGTTGTTGTTCAGCTTTGGTGTCTTGTTGCAGGGGTTTAGAAGCCCTTGGTTGGCTAAGAACTTGGGCTTTCAAATTGGTTTTTGAGGTATCTCTACGAGTCCATCTAGATGATCGAACCCCCTCTTTGCAGTTTGTGTGTCCAAGTTGTTTGCAACCCGAGCAGAAAGCTGGAAGATCTTCGTAGTAAATGGGTTGAAAAGAAGAGAGTTTGCCAAGGTGTATCCATATAGCCTTTGGTATCTCTTTAGAGAGGTCAAGTTCGACACAAACCCGAGCCACAGAAGGCCTAGTAAGGTTTCTGGTTGCACTGTCTGTACGCAAAGGTCTCCCTATAAGATTTGCAATTGAGTAAAGAGCAGCTGAATCAAAAAGATGGATTGGCAGTCCTTCTAGACCAACCCAAACCGGAATAAGAGGTGATTCTGTTTCTGCGTCATAATCTGGTGTCCATCTAATTTCCATGATTTACGCAGCAAACATCTCAAAAAATCCTTGTCCGATGAAAAGTTTATCAAAATATTGTGTTCATCAAGAAGGGAAACAGAGAAACTGGATTCGAAGCCTATTTTTTCCAATAGAAAACGGATCCGTGCCAGCGCCGACCTCATAGAATTAAATCGTCCAACAATAGCTTTAGAGAAGGACGCAGATAATACCTGAATTTCGTCTTCAGAAAAGACGATTGATGGTAACCCTTTGTATCTCGCTGGCGATTTGTAGATCCCTGAAGCTGCGATGTCTGCAAAAGCACTTGTACCATCTGTTGTAGCCATAGAGGACGAGAATTGTAGATCGCCGCCATCGACGACGACCGTATATATATATATATATATATGTATATATATATATATATATAGATTTTGGTTCAAGTGAGAATGCAATCTTATGAAAGAAATAAGAATGAATCTGGTGCTTTAGATTGAGAGATCTAAGGGTCAGGATTCCATCAAAATTAGGTGCACCAAAATGGTTTGAAAATGCATCATGTCGAAATGCACCAAAATCCTTTAAAAATGCACTATCTCAAAATCTGAGTGCAGGATGCAATCTGAGCCGCACGATGCATCAGATCCAAAGGCTAGATTTTATTCTTATTTCTTTCACCAAGGTGCATTCTCACTTGAACCACCCCCTATATATATATATATATATATATATATATATATATATATATATATATATATATATATAAAGGTTTTATTAAACATAAAAGGAGTACAGCCAAGTGTGGGTGGTCCAAAACCCCAAACAAGAGGACCCAAACAAAACAAAGCCAAATAGCCAATTGACGAAATAAACAAGAAAAGAAAAACAACAACTAGCAAAGTAACTCCTGCTTCCAGTGGTATCAATCCATAGCATCCGCTAGCCACGTGATGCTGGGCATCAAATTTTGTTGTCTTGCTATTGGAAACCCTGCAGCTTAATCTTCTGGTTGTGAATTGTGGCCTGATAAACTCAAAATATCTTGCTTTTTATCCTCTAAATCAAGCACAGCTGATTCTATAGTTCAGCATCCCAAAAAGAGCTTGATTCCCATATTCATCCAACAAAAGTGATATCAAACAATCTTCTAATCAACCTTAAAACCCAAAAACTCAAAGCTTTCATTCACTAATCAACAACTAAGAATCTGCTGATCATTCTCAAAACCCAAAAAGCTAAGTGTAACCAAGATAGAACTGTCTAAAAACAAACTATTGCCTAGGAAATCAAAACCTCTGGTTCAGACCCCTTTGAAGGACCAAAAGACCATGACCAAAGGACCAAGAAACTGAAAATAAACACATGCCCAGAGTACAAGCCTAATCAATCCTGTTCACCGCATAAATGAGCTAGCACGACATCCATATCTTCTTTCGCATAAGCAAGGTAGACCGGATACCTTGCACCTTCCATTTTTGCTGCATCAATATACTCGAAGCTTTTGATTGCCTCCCTTGTAATCCTAACGACTTCCTCTGAGTAATTGAGAATCTGACCTTTATTAAGAGCATCTAAAAACTGTTTGCTAGCAATTGATTTTCTGAAGAGGTTAATGTTATCCTTGATAACTTGATGAAAAATATCCAGAGAGCCCTGGTCTAAAGGAACCTCTGCCAATGGCTTGTGCCTTTGCAAACTTTCCAGCTCTTTCTCCATAGTGAAGTCAACAATTAGCCTATTTTCCAGATTATTCTGTTCTTCCTCACATCTATCATAAGAAGAAACTCCATGATAACATCTCCACCCCTCATCCTTGCAAACTTCATTAGACCCAATACCTTCTTGAAAAACATTTGGCACTGGTTGTGGCTGATGACTTAAGCAATTCGAGTTCCTCAATAATTCTGCTAATCCCTTACTGAAAAGTTTAAGCCCCTCTAAGTAAAAACCAGCCGGAATGATAATCTGATTAGGCAAAGTCCCTAAATTTGACAAAAGGCGTGCAAAATGCCCAAAACGATTTGAATCCCAAGAAACTTTGACAAAGAAATCCCCATCGTATCTAGTGATTTCCCAATTTTCATATGAGAAATCTCTCCGGGAAATAGTCTCGACCAACCAGTGTGCAATAGCCCTAGAGATTGTTAAGAAACGAGTATTACCTGATTTGAATTCTGCAATTCTGATACACTGTCCTTCATCTAAAAGTTCAAAGTCCTTGCTCTCAATTGATAATGTAACCTGACCGTTTGCACTGAAATTTGGACCCGAGTTCCGGCGCCTCCATGGTCTTCGTCTCTCAGATTTTTTCCAAGCCCAATTAGACTGGAGATTCGCTAAGCGAGATGGGTGTCGCTCGCCATAGACTCTGGACCGCCGCCATCCCCTCTCTCTCTAAAATCCCTAAACGCCATCATATATATATATATATATATATATATATATATATATATGCATTAATGTATACATACATACATAATCAAAGAATTGGTATTCAAATTTGTGTGTGTATAAACATATGGCTGTGATCTAGAAATGGTGGAATTGGAAGGCTCATTCTACACGAATGTGATGGTTTGAGAATTAGAACTGGGATGTATTTATAGTAGTCCAAATCTTGATTCTGCAGAATGTGCATTAAATGTCCAAATCTTTTAAAGATTTTCCTATCTAAATATTTAATTTTGATAAGACATAAAGTAATCTCTACATTAAAAGTAGTGATTTGCTTTGTGAAACCACGCACCACTTTAATCTACTTTATGGAGCCACGCAGCACTTTAATCTACTTTATAGAGGAGTGCACCACTTTAATCATTTCAAAAGGACTGATATGACAATTCATTAATGGCAGCCTCAAAACTCATCCTAGCAGCCCAATTTTGGCCCAGCCCGAATTGGCCCAATTTAGCCCAATAAATTAGGCGGGAACACTGTTCAAAAGGAAATCCTAGCATTATATATAGTAAGATTTTTTCAAATTTCTAGCTGGTCGAGAAGGCCATTAACGATTTAAAAGGATTTCATTTAGAATTATGAAATACAGAATAAAATGATTTCATTTAGAATTGTAAGCAAAATGAGGTACTATATTTGTAGTCATTCATGTGTAGCACAGACATGATTAAAGTTGCATTCTGTTTGTCTGAATTGATTTGATTTTTTGAAGATCTGGTCTAATCTGATCTGATTGCAATTGTAATTAAAGCTGTTACTGATCTTATTATAATAAAAATAAGTAATTAATAGAAAAAATAAGTTAAACCGAATGTTGCCCTAAGAGCACTGGGAATGGTAGTAACACCCGGGGGCGTGAGGGGCGTTTAACGCCCCGGAGGCGTTAAACACCGCCCCCGGCGGCGTTACAGGGGCGTCATCGCCTGCCCGTCATTCTTTTGACGCGGCTCGGCCCTTCGTCATCCCCCCCAACGGCTTTCCCAGCGGCTTTTTTAGCTGTTCCCCCCCCCAAATTAAAAAAAAAATCAAAATTAAAAAAAAACCTATAAATTCCCCTAAAAAATATCATTTTCTCACACATCTCTCTCACATCTCACTTCATATTCTCTCTAAAATATTTATTATAAATCTTTAAAAAATATATTTTAAAAATTGATTCATCTTCCGACGATGAAAGAAGAGCTTTATTTTTTCGTTGTTTCGCGACGAATTGTATTCAATGGTGGGAAGATGGCCAAGAAGAAGCCGAATCCTCCCAACGACGGACCCGACGCCAACGTCTAAACCGGGATAGAGAGGCTGCCCACGCTTCACTTCTAAACGACTACTTTAATAATCCGTGTGTTTATACACCGGAGGATTTTAGTAATCGTTTTCGGATGAGTTGTCATCTCTTCTTACGCATTCTCGCCGATGTTGAACTCGAGGTTCCTTGGTTCACCCAACGGTTTGATGCGAGAGGCCGACACGAGTTTGGTAGCGTCCAGAAGTGCACTGCCGCGCTCCATCAGTTAGCGTACGAGACGGCATCCGA